GGATTAAGCGTTCGTTATCTGAATCCTGTGCCATAGTTATGTTTTTGAAATGTCACGAAAGAGGAATGTGTTGTATTTACTGCTTACGTCAGCCACCTTATTCGGGACAATAGTTAAGGTAGCAGCCTGCCAGCAGGTCTTTTTGTTCTTCCCATTTTGTTTATCGCCAGCCTCATGCTGCCAGCGCTCAGCTCATTGTTCTATTGAAAATTCTTCTCGAGTGGAGGTAACGAGGTTTCTTGTTTCAATTGTCTTTTTTTCCCTTATATCAACGACCTTCACAATTCAGTTTGCTTCCTTCGTGTCCGAATTTTGACAGCCTAGACAAGTACTGTGTACTTTGTCCTTCTCGTGCTCTTTTGGTTCGACCTTGTGTATTTTCATTGCTCCATTGGTTACACGTGCTCCTGAGCAGCTCACTTGCAACCTATCCTCTCTTTAATATCCTGCTGCACAATGTCTTCTACCGCGATCTCGACCATCACATATCCATGTCCTCCGCCTACTACCAATGCACTTGACTCCCAGCAGCGCATGCGTCTCATCCGCTCTGCGCGCAAATTGGAGGCAATCATGGGAACCACACCCTACCTCCTCGAGGCAGATATCCCTGTCACACTCCTCCCTGTCGGGGGTAACAAAAAGTTGGCGACGGGCAAAGCACTGAAGCGCCAGGGCTCCATATTCATGCACTACCACACATTTTCCCCATCTGTAACATCATTTAGCTCAGCCTCAACGACATCCCTACACTCCCCATCCGCTTCACTGGTCTCGCTGCCTTCGAGCATGCGGAGCACAGAGTCCCTCTCAGTGACACCGCCTGGCCTGCCTGCGCGCGGCAGAAGGTCGGCAGATAAACCTAGACCATTGTACCTTCGCATGAACAACGTTCCTGTCTCTCCTACCGACCACCGCTGCACATCACCACCATCCACACCTTCCTCAGCCTCCCCAACCTCAGATTCTTTTCCCTCTACGCCTCGTACGCCAAGGTATGACACTGCAGAAGTGCGGAGAAAGCGGATGGCAAAACTTGCGCGGCATCTCGGAGAGAACGTACCTCCCGAACTCGTCACCGCACAAGGGCCGCCCCCCAAATTACGTTTTGAAGAAGACGTGCCCAATAGGACGCGGCGTAGTATGTCTGTCAACCACGCGAGCCCACAAAATATACCATTCGCTCCAAAGCCTCAGGCTAACAGCGATTGGGTTGGCGAGTGGAATCGATCTGATATCAGAGATGTTCAGAGGGAACTCAGAAATCTCCGGGCTGAGCGGTGGTAGTTGCGTCGTTGTTTGGACATATTTCATTACCCCATTACTTGATTCTATGTTACCCCTTGTATCTATATCACTGGCTGCAGGCATCCAGCATGTGCTTTATGATAACTAGTCATCTACATACATATATGTATCATGTTAGGCCTTTTCCTCATTAATTATCTATACACCCGCACTACTACTGTCGTTTTGTAACATAATACATGCGAGCACAAGCCCATGGCACGTGCCACAAGAATATTGAAGAGAAAAGTCGAGAATCTTACCAGACTCCAACCATTCGGCAGGGTATCCTACATCCTAACATAACCAGCTTAATAATACATTGTACTTGTTTGCTTCGTCCAATTCAACTCCGAAACCTTAGTGCTGATCAATGTTCCATAAGAAGGTGTTTGGCTGTATTGGTCAACAGCTTCTAATCCTAACAGATGTCAACAAACATTCGTAAGACTGTCACCATACGCCGGTTACTTATCAGGGAAGGCTGTGGCTGCAAATATGGCACCTTCATGAACTTCAAAAACCCGAACAGGAGGGATGCTTGTAACGGCGTGCTGCTCTGCTTTTTCCACCATCCTGATCCTGATCATGAAGTTCGCTGTTAAGGTGTGCTTGTAGAGACTGCGTGTTTCGCTTTACAGAAGTGGGTGTGCTTGATGGTTTAATGTTACTTCACAACGCCCAGCTGTATCACTAGACGCATAACCATGAGGCTGGCTGAATCCTGATCCACTTCAAACTTCTCGACACCCATCCAAGAAGAGTACAACTATCTCTACGGCGTATTTTTTATTTGATTGTAAGGATCCCCATTCCTCTATGCCCCGCCCATCGATCTCCTCGCAGGTCAAAGCGTCCGTATCGCATACACGTAGTGCGGGAAGCTTTCACTTCTCGCATCCGGTATCACATCGGATACATTCCCTTACGATACTCATAACGTTTCACATTTTCACATTTTCACGATTTCACTATAATCACGCCTCGTTGCATGACGTTTCTTCCCTTTATCCTTTAGCTTTTCTTTCATCGTCGACCCCGCAGTTCTGATCCAACGTTCCGTCCGACCCAAGTTTCGCATCAACGCTTTGACTCTACGATTCTCGCACTACTCGACTCTGTCTACTATCATCTCTCTTCCCCTTCGAACTCGTTCAGCCCAGAGCTTCGCACTTTGCGGCTCTACATGATCGACCGTCAAATTTGATTATATCTACAAATTTCTGTAAGCTACAGAGGTGAATGTGCTACTTGGTTTTGTGCTGCTTCATAACATTCACATACCTCGTTAGACGCCAAAGGCATGAGGCAGTTCACTCTCAGACCTCCAGGGTTTGAAAGGCTGCATCCACGTTCTGATATCAGCCTTGCTCGACGGCTTGCCTTTCTGGGGCCTCTCACATGAGTCTAATTTCTGCCGCAGCTGCAGTCGTTGCTTTATTGCTCACCGCCACGTCTTGCCTAATAGGGCGTGCATGTATTGCCGAAGTCGAGACCATATCAGATATGACGATATTGCTAGAAAGCTGAATGTGCAGCCATGCTGATCTAACTCGAGAAGGTGTGGTCATTGTAAGATGGGACAGTGCTGTAAGGTGCTGGCGCAGCCGGAGAGGGTTCGTAATATGGCTGCGGTATGCATCACCCGGAAGCAAACAGGATTAGTCCATACCGTTTCAGTCTGGGCGAAGTCAATATAATGATTCTGGGCGTTTACCATGATGACTGCGCGCTCCGATATTATATTGATAAGCACTATGGCAATGTCCCACAAGATAGGTCAAGTGATTAGGGCAGAATCAAGAGAGTCGCAAAGGCCATGTATATGTGCTAATAAGCCACACAAGATTCGGAAAGAATCACACGCCCAGTAAAGATGGAAATATGAGAGGAGTCGGAAGTATCAAGATCGTGGCTGGTAGTCCAGACACACGTGCCCTACGCGACAATGTCAAAATTAGAGGATTGTTGTGACATATAGTCCTCATGCCTCAGGATATGCACGCGACACAGAAGTCCAATACATCCTAAGGGTAGAATCATTATGGTGCGTGTAGAATTTTCCGTGGTGATTTAACTGTTGGACCAAGGATTGCATTGCAAAACAAGTGTCGAATACTACTACAAATTCGGTCATGGCACGAAAACTAATTCATGTGCGATATGTCGGGGAGAACATATGCAACATACTTGAGGATTCCGTGTAGAATTGCCCGTACTGCAATTAAAACACGAACTCTTGGGACACACCACCTAGTAGGAGTAAATTTGCTTCGAAGTGCAGAGAACCTAAATTTTCATCATCAGCAATGACATCCATAAACCACATGCTATACATACCTCTTTGGCATATAGATTGCTGCAGTGCTTCTCTACGTTTGGGTTGTTCGCATACAATGTGGACAGCGGGATACCAGCTGCTTTGGCAATTTCGGTGCAATCCTCGTGGGTCTTCACGACGTGGGTGTCAACGCAGTCTTTGTCTTTAATTCCAAGGCATATTTCCTATGACCAATGAGTCCAAGTGTCCTGCAAACGCAAACATATCTTACTTCTCCGAGATGCAGATCACAAGCGGTGTTAATGATGCCGGTGTTCACTTTCATCAGCTGGTATCTGTGCATACGTTCAATGTCAAATGGATGTCAGGGATAGTAATGATTGCACATACGTCGAGACTTTGTGTTGAGCGGAGATTGTGGCACATGTATCTCCAGGTTTAATTGTTATCTTGCGGGTACAATCAGAAGGGATTGCTAGACGTTACCCAGTGATAAACATGAGCATAATAGAGCATCGAGGAAGAGGATTACTGACCAACAACAACAGAGGCAAGTGCAGCAAGCGCAGCGAGTCTGGTGAAGAATGAGGTTTGCATACTGGTCAGGGAAGCTTAGAAATAGGTGAGTGATGTTAATGCCTTAGGAATGACTCTTCGAGGACGAGTACTTATACTAGAATAGCAACGGAGCTTGAAACGATGTGGATTGTCTGAATCAATATCTTTGAGAAACTAGTAGCAGGAACACGCATAAGATGAGCATGTGCGAAGAAGGACCGCCACATCATTATTGCCGGTTGCGATTTCGAATCAATTTCTAAGGGGTGAAGTTGGTCGGAAAAACTGAGTTCCTGATGTACAGAACTATGAAATGTCTTGCAATTCAAATGGTAAAGGCATGCTCGGGTTAGGAGAGGAATTTCACATTATTTGGTGGTCAACAGCACGAATGGTATGGTCTTGTGAATTCGTGCTGTCAAAGATTGAGTCAGATCTAGTACAATCAAAAAGGGCTCGAACAGAGGTAAGAAGTTGGTCAATAGCATGGAAGCAGGATACACACCGAGAGCAACTCAGTTCGCCACTGAATGCGAGTACGCGGAATATTTATTTTCGCTGGGTATGTGAAATAAGCATACTGGTACCTGTTCCGCAACTGCTGATCGATTCAAGCTAGAAAAGAACACCGCTCGTTATGTAGGGTGGTTCTGTTTGTCTGCAAAGACAGGTTGCGTCCTCGTGGAATAACTCAGGCCCCAAGTTCGGTAGATCTTATGAAGCGGGTTGGCAAGTAGCGGACTGTATATGGTACGAAGAAGGATGAGATGAAGACAAATAGAAGGCATTGGTCAGAGCGACGTCGTTTGATGTGTGCCGAAGTTCTGTGGCTAGTAGGCCTGTAGAAGCAGCCATGGTCAAGACTCTGTAATAGCTAGTGCTGCCGTGGTCCGGTTCGGTCCAGTTCAGAGGGTCCTGGACGAGAACCAAGAACCGGACCATGGTTCGGTTCTACAAAATCTTCGAACCCAGAACCGGACCACAGAGAACCGTTCTCTGTGGTCCGGTTCGGTTTTTTTCTGGTCCGAACTCGAACCGAACCCGAAAATTCTCAGTAGAAGACTAAGAATCCAGCAAACACAAGGCAACTCTCAACATCCTCGCGAGGTAATTTATTGATCTGCAACAATCACCAATACCGTGCATGCAGGTACGTGATTATCACTAACCTTGTCGATCGACATGCTTTCTTTCGTTCCTAGAGCCAAAACACGGCTTCCACACCTGGTATACCACTTGTATGTCACATCATACCATTCGCCGACGATCGTGCCATCATCGAGACGAACGAGCACATGCGCCGCAGCCAAGCAGAGGGTGGTATACTTGGAGGTATCCTTGACGTCTACGAGTTTCAGTTTGTCTGACTCGCTAAATTGTTTCTATATTAGTGGGGATCTAATGAATAAATAAAAAAACACCAACCCTATGCCAGCAACACCCTCCAGGACTAGGTTCTCTGCATAGTTCCCGTTTGAAATATCGACGCGGCCAGCGGATGGAATGTGCCCCTGGGCTGTACCAAAACCGGTTCTCAAAACAAGCTAGTTCCTGTTTTGTCAAAGCAACAAATATCAACGCGGTCAGCGGATGAGATGCGGTCAATCTATTATTTCTGCGCCTATTGCCGACTTCTCGAAGTGGAATGAAGTGCACTACATATGTCAGTGGGTGAGAGTCTTGAGAGTTTAATTAGGGAGTGCTTACCTTCAAAAAGCCCAAAGGCAGCATGATCAACCGAGAGTGCAAATCCCGAAGACCACAGTTTGACGTCGAAGCAGATGATGTCGAAGTCGAAGTCGATAAGGGTTCGGAATGGTTCGGGAAGGCCGAACCAAAATGGAACCGTTCGGGAGGACCTAGAACCGAGAACCGTTTTCCGGTCCGGTTCGGGCTGGCATGAGGACCATGGACCGAACCACAGAGAACCGGACCAAAAGTCCGGTTCGAACCGTGGTTCTGGACCGGACCGCGGCAGCACTAGTAATAGCAGTGATCAGTGACCACCTGTAAAAATAGTAAGATAGGGCTCAACACAACCAACCAACATCACCAGGAGTAATGATCCTCTCTCGACTCTAGTACTCTCATCTATATAACTGGAAGGAGGTTAGAATCACCTGTCGAGCTGGTGAAATGTCCGATTCACCTGCTAAACCGGTGGTGAGATGGTGACAATAGCTAGTTGAAAATTACCTGTTAGATTTGTCAGTTACTACATTCACCGCTTGAAACAAACTGCCAAATCTATTGAAGGGAATGTCCAAGTTTGACGGATCATGATGGTGTTGTGGGCAGACCTGTTTGGAAGGAGTTCCGCCGGCAGAACTGGCAAAACCTGGAAGAACTATGTTCTGGAATCTGCCAGTACTTGTGGCAAGGGACGCGCATAGGCAGAAATTGTCAGAAATCTAGTTGTTAACCCCGCCGTGAGGTTTACACACCTTGAATTCTGCCACATTCTGTTATCTGCCTGGCAGTGCCAGTTATGCCATGCCACGAGGCAGAATGTCAGACTCTTGCCCACAACATAGTACTTACTAGCGTCACGTAGGGCATCTGGGATGCTCAATTCTAAAATGTCGTTAGGGATACTGCTACATGAAAAGGTTCAGGTAGCTACTGTACAGTGAGAATCAGGACGAGGACACTCTGCGACAAGGTTTAGAACTTCTCCCATGCGAAGGTTTAGCCGAGCGGTGGTGGACAAATTAGGAAAGGTTTAGGGTCTATGTAGCCTCAGGTAACTTGCGAAAGGATGACCGTAAGGTCAAGTGCGCAGCGACAACGACATTTTGGAATTGAGCATCCGTAATCGAAGCTCTAAGTGTGAAGCATATAAATGTTGACGTACTGAATACTTCCAGCTGAATTCAACCCTCAATGGCTCAGCGCTCAGTGTTCACTCTCATCAGAATTCGATAACATTTTTGCTGGAGGTGAGTCCTGGTAATGATATCTTGCGGTAGCTTACCCTGCTGACACAACGTTCTGTGCGCAGACGGTGCTACAGCTTGTGTTGTAGGATGCTCTAGCTGGTATCAACGGTGTAGTCGCCCAGTAAGGCGGTATCTTCATAACGTGCTCACTTATCTGACAGATGGGGACATCCCTTCTGCATTCGCCTTGGTTAAGGAGTTGACACAGGAGGACAAGACTCGGACGACACCATCAATAGAAAGTCGAAGGCGACGACCAAGATGACAGTCAAGGTCGCAGGCAAAAAGTTCTAGCCCAGGAAATCATCAACGGTGGTTGCAATGTCCAGGCTGCTCTCCAGTATGTACTGCTGTAGACTCCAAGGACTCAGATACTCGATATTATATTGATATCGAGGTCGGCACCCCACTTCAAGATTCAAGTTTGTGCTCGGTAAGAAAACACACATTTGTTTTTACCGTACACTCATTCCCTCAGGGTCCACGGTTCTGAGTCGTGCTTCTTCGATCGACCTATAAGGCAAATGATTCCGAATAGTTCATCCAGTGTGGTACTGACTCCACAGACGGGTCTTTCTTCCAAGATGTCTTCCGCATAGGCGATCACTCTGTCCATACTAGCCAAGACTTCGCAGATGCCACGAACAAGCCCGCCAGTGGTTACATTTCAATCGTGATTAACGCATGGAGTAGGTTCCGTCAGATGGCATTCTTGGCTAGCCCACGATATGCATCCCCGTCACCCAGGTTGTGTTTGTGTAAGTTCATGTGCTTACGGTTTCCATACTTATTCTGGATTGTTTATTCATCGGCGCTTAAATTCTACCAGATTGCGTCTATACTCTCACCCTGAAGTTCTGCCACTAGGTTCTGCCTATATTCTTGCTGTGAAGTTCTACTAGTAGACGCAACCATTATGCCAGCCGATCATTAGAACGTCCGAGACCTGCCAAATAAAAGAAAGGCCACCTTCAATGTCCCCCCACCTTGGAAAGACTCTCGTTGGCAAGCATCGTATAGATAATGCGCTTCTCCTTCCTCGTCGTTATTTCTGCTTTGACAGCATCTATGTCTGTCAGTGCCTTGGTCAGTCATTGCGTTAAAACAGGCCATGAGTGCAAGAAGAACGGTGATTGCTGCAACCAACATTGTGATTTGGCGTCTGTGAGTCTTAATCGTTTGCTTCGCATCCTGGATTAATTACTCACCCCTCGCGCCATGTAATACCAATAGCCTGATGGTCATCTATACTGCAATAATGACTAGTCTGATGAGCCAGCGGCCTGAGTAGCACACCCGGACAGTGAGTCAAAATTTTGCTTTCGCGTTGGTGCTGAAGCCGATGGCACAATACGTAGCTCGTCGCTGACTTCGTCATTATAGTCGCTCCTGGAGTTTCGACAAATTCCACCGCTGCTTGAGTAATAGAGGGCCTTGGATACATGACGCATGTGTCATTTTTGGCCTTGTTTGAAATTTGGAAGCCTCATGGCACATACATATGGGCGACTATCGTTAGAATGCGGTCTAGTGCAAGTAAATGGAGCTGGCAAGGATTTCCGCGTCGTTGATCAAGAGAAGTGGATGAATGGATCCGAGAACACCACTTTATTTTTAGAACCACTATTAGTCGACCATGGTCATCAGGAACGACATGAAGAGTCATGGAGTCTAAATATCTTGGCACTCGGGCGTTTACTAATATTGAGGAGGTGGCCAGGTTCTCTGGCTTAGTGCCACGTACGTGGAAGGAAGAGTCCTGGAAGACTGGTACTGACACGCATGCCCGATTGATGCGTGCAGGTAAAACTTGGATCGATAATGTCGTTTGTAAGTCAGCGTAGTCATGTATGCAGATTATATTTCTTCCGCTCACCGGACACGACAGGGTTTAGCTAACGAGGTCATATGGCCTGTCAAGCCCCTATCGTGATTCGCACCAAACTCATCTAATCTGATGAAATCTTTATCCTAAATCCGACTGAGATATCTGAGAAGTTCGAGGTTCTATCCTGACGCGAGGCACGAACATAGGGCTAGAGCAAGATCCGCGGACGAAAATATTTACAATATGTAGTCTTAGAATACAGGACAGGTGCTCAGCGGACATTTATGTTCGACAGGCTCGGGGTATTAGTGTTATGATTCACCGATTGAATCGTACACACAACGGTAAGCCTGAGGATAGTCGTCCTGGCCTGGCCCAAGAAGGAGGGGCACAGTCTCGATATTAATGGAAGGCACTTGCGTAGGTTCGATAGAGGACGTCCGCGTGAATATACTTCTCTCCCGTTCAACGATGCTGCATGGAGGGATAGAATTATGCACGAGTGACAAAGAGCAAGAGACAGACGCACTCTCTCATGACGGTCGCATTGAACAGGCGCTTGGCACGCTGCTTACTCTGGTTGTCCTCGTATTGGTCCGTTTCGTCGACAATCTCTTCTGATATAATTTCCTGGAAGAGATGTCATGTCATATACTTGGAAAAGCTAAGCGAACACCATACCTCGATGACATCTGGAGCGACGCAGAGACATAATTAGGCAGCGATAATAGTGCACATAACTGGATGGTTCACCTTCCAAAGTAATCACACCAATTCCGCCACCAGCGGAACCAGGCGTCCGACTTATCAACAATAAATGAGCGCGCCCTGTTTGGCTAAAAAGAATCGCTTCCGTTGTCACCTGACTGACATGAGTGGAAGCATGAAATGAGAGCGTACAAATAGTCGAGGGCTTGGAAACAGTTGATCGATGGCGGAGCCTCAGGCAAAATAGACAGAGAGAAGTGTGAGACTGGGAGCCCTTGCGCGGTATCGTACGCTAGTAACTGTCACGTAATGTCAACAAGCTATTCAGACGAAGTGTGGTTTCTCCACCTTCTTGATCAAAAGGAGGCCCACAAATGCGAGCGGATTTCCTGGTTTGTGCACGGGAAACCGAGAGAAGCCGCTGGCGAGGCTGAAGTCTTGTGAGTGCGCTCCTGCGAAGACAAAAATTGTTGTTTAAATACATAGCGTCAACAGTAGGGTGGTCCAGAATCGTATCCGAGCTCAACATAACAACGTCCTGCCAGCAATGAAAACCCGCATAAGTACCGAGCGCACTGCAAGAAATGGTCAAAACACCAACACAAATGGGAGTCATGATTGTCTCCACGTTCTTACTGCTGAGCTCCAGAACGCCATTGAGAATGCCGATCTCATCATCGCGCAAAGGCTCTTGGCCAGTACGGTGGAATTGGAGGAAGGATTTAAGTTCAGCTTTCTTGTAGGTGTGTGCATCGTGAGCTCCCAAGACGTGGTCAAGAAGTTTTGCTATCGGATATGCGATGGGTGCTAGTATGCCAGGGCGGAAATTACTTTGAATCCTAGCAGTCAAAAATGCGTGCGCACCGAAGAGATACATCAAGAAGAGAACAAATGGTGCACATCGTGCGCCGATGGCGAGACCGTATCTCGCGCAAAATGCTTGAGGTATAACTCTTTTGGTAGGTGGTCATGATACAATCGCACAGTGCATGACACATTGTACTTACTCTCTGTCCGTCAAAGAAGAAAATGTCATCCATCATGAATCATGATGCTCAAACCGAATAGCAAACATACCCAAAAATAACTGAGGGGCGCCGCGTCAGTTGGATTGGATGCGCGAATTTTGCTACTTACCGATGGCAGTTGTTGAAATTACTATAGCGAGTAAACCGCCTCCAATCTGATAAGCCCATTAACTCTGGACTGAAAGGGGCTATGACCGAGAATGTGCTCACCGCGCTGTCAAGAAAAATGGGCAAGCTCTCGTTGATGACCTAAAACCCGATCTTCAGTACGCAGAGCAAAATCGTATACATATAAGGGTACGAACCACATTGCTGAGAAGTAGCACCTTGATCGAGCTTGAGAATGATGAAGAGAAAGCAGGTATATACTTACCACCAAAACCCAGTGGCGACCCCTTTGCATGAGGTTCAGTACTAATCATCGATCACTCAGAATTAGGTGCCACCCGTTCAATAACTACACGCACCAATCTGTGCATTTGTCCGTTCTGTCTTATCTTCCGATGAAGTGGATAATACACGGAGATGAAGTTCGTCAAGCCCCATGAGACCAAGTGTTAATCTAACGAGATAAATTTGATGAACATCTGCTGAGCTCGATGTGCAACCTACCCAGCGAAGACGCCTCCCGCGAGAACCAGAAATGCGCTGATGGCCATTTTCCACCAAAATTCAAACGAATCGGGGGAATCCTTGGTGGGGACCTTGGGGATGAA